TATTCCAAATGCCATAACTTACACTACGGTTATGAAATGTTGCTTCAAAAATAAAATGTTCAATGAAGGGCTTGAGATTTTTTCAGAAATGAAGGCGAAAGGATATACTTTCGATGGCTTTGCTTACTGCACGGTCGCTGGTGCTTTACTTAGAACTGGTAGAATAGAAGAGGCAAATCAATGCATGGGAAACATGTTTAGAAGTGGTATTGATCTTGACATGGTGTGTTATAATACCCTAATTAATTTGTATTGCAAGGAAGGTAAGTTGGAAGATGCCTTTGGGTTGTTGGATGAGGTAGAAAAGATGGGATTGGAATGTGACATTTACACCCACACTATTTTGATTGATGGGTTGTGCAAAGCAGGTAATATACAGGGTGCCCAGCGACATTTAAAGTACTTGAATAAGATGGGCTTTAGAACAAATTTGGTTGCTTTCAATAGTTTTATTGATGGATTGTGTAAACTTGGTCAGATTGAGTATGCAATGCAGGTGTTCGAATCCATGAAAGTGAAGGATGAGTTTACTTATTCCTCCATTGTGCAAGGACTTTGCAGTGCTGGAAGATTTCATTTGGCTGCTAGGCTACTCCTATCCTGTGTTAGAAGTGGAGTGAGAATTTTAAGGTCTGATAAAAAGGCTGTTATTCGTGGTCTTCGTTTTACAGGCTTTGGTCCTCAAGCTAAGAAGGTCCAGTCAAATATTCGCTTGGCCAAGTTACTGCACTATTGATGTGTTATGGAGATAAAAATTTTGTATCTGCAAAAGAGATTATTCCTGTGCTGGCTGGAAATTCGGGGTTCATACTTTTTATGAAAGTGAACCAACAGTCCACCTTGTAATTTATTTGAAATGACTACTCTACTTATGAGTTATGACCAGCAGATTGACATTATGGTACAGAGAAGCAATTTCCTTCACCATCCTTATTGCTTAAAGAGAGAAGCAATTTTCTTCACCATGCTAACAAACTTAAAGGCCTGACGAGAGTTGGAAGCTGGACAACTATTTTCTCTGAAATTGTGGACAACTTGCTCTATGTTGTTGAGCAACTGAAGGCAATTAAAGTTGACTAATTTAGCATCAAAAGACAATATCATGGTTCGGAAATAAAAACAATTGCATTTTGGGATCTGTCACTTTCTGGGAAATTAAAGAAAGGTATTGACCTAACTTCCAACAATTGAGCACACTGATGCTAGTGAAATTTCTGGATGATTTCCTTCTATAGCATGCCTACTGGACATTTTTACAAATTGAAAAATTTTCCTTACTTGAACATGGACTGATATTCTGTTGTCATCTGAGAACTCAGATGAGAAGCCTCAACTATAATTTTCTTCTTGCTGAGAATTAAGACCAGCATTGACATAGACAAGTGCTGAATAGAATAATTTTGGTACTTTGATTATTCTATTAGCTATGTTAGGTGTAATTGGAAGTTGATCATCTTTATGCTTAATGGAAGTTTACAAAATGTTAGTATTATCTGGTGGGTAGGTACAAGTGATGGAATTTTCTTCTAGAATATCAATTGCACATAATTTTTCTAACCAATTGTTTATGCTGCCTATTGTAGGAAAACAATTGAAGTAAGCTGGCATTGTTAATACTGGATTTTGTATATCCTTCAGGCTAACACATATGCTGAAAAGGGTGTAACAGCTCAAAACTGTTGTCACATATTTTCTGTCATGGATACTGGTGCCACTCAAAACTTATTGCACTCTTAAGATATGTTCTCCTTTTGGTATGGTAAGTTTCATGTAGCTTCGCAGGGTAGTTACCTCAAGTTTCTTGAGATAGCTGCTTCTAATCTAAGAGGATTCAAGAGAATGTAATATGAGAATATTTCAGTGTGTTGCATTGCAAATTCAGATACTGCTGTAGATTATTTTACACTGAATGTTCTTTTAGATAGATTAGTACAGCAGCAAAGGCTTACTACTAGTCTTTGTTGCTGAATTAGTTTTTGGGCACTTATGATATTTCTTGTTATGATACAATCCTCTTACCTGATTTTGGTTTGCAATTGATGTTCCGCAACCTTGAAGAGACAATTGGGTTGGGAAATTGATGAAATTTTTTGATCTTCTCAAGTAACTGTCGCCATACTAGAGAAAATGATACTCTTATTTTTTTTTCAGTTTCGAAAAATTGAGAGTTCATTTTCTGTTTCTGTTGACCTGCAACTTATGTTTGTTTATAATGTACTTGCTTTCATTCTTTCCTATTCAATTAGACTCTAGATTACCAGATGACACCTTCAAAACTTTCTTTGGATAACCAGTTCATTTTAATTTAGTTCTTTCATGTCTCATATTTCATCTATTCTTTTTTTTTAGGGTTCATATTCTCAAGGGGCTGGCTCTAAACTGAACACGGACTGTTTTAGCGCGGCTCTCCATTTTTGTCACTGAAATCGGGTTCTAGGTTCATTTCTCATATGTGATCTCAGTGGCACAATGCAGTAATGGCCTTGATAATTATCGAAGGTTAAACAAGGAAAAGGATCCGAAGAATGGTTTTAGCCATCAAGGAAGTACTGATGTGTCAATGTTCTGCATCCAAAATGCACATGTCAACATGTAATGATACACAATCTGTGCATATAACATTTGCCTTGCAGTAGAAACTTTGGTAGGGAATCGCAAGTCAGAATGCAAAACTGTACTTGTCCATGAAATTGATGGTTTTTTTGTCCTTTGATTGGGATTATTTCCTAAATGAAACAAAACAAGGAAATCCAGTGTTGCTCGTTATTGAGAAAACAAGTGGCAAGAGAACATTCAGCATTTTGTTGGGTGATTTTTGATCAAGCATTGGCCTAAGCTGAGCCCTTAAACTTTACAGATTTCGACAAAGGGTACGAATTCCTTTCTGGAAATTAATGACTCAAACACGAGATATCTATACTTAGAACATTCTGGCTCTCAAGAACGTTGAGATTATGAAGCCAACTACCAAACATGCTAGAAGAAAGTTACAGAACTGTTTACATCTCCTTGGACTCTCTCTTGGGGAATCATATCCAGCGACTGCCATCGGTCTTATTTCATGGTAATCTCTTATGTATATACTGATATCCTTAATTAATCGAACATTCTTTGCTGTGTTGTTACAAATTTCACACAATCTGCAGGACAAGTGAAACACCAGAATGAATCTTTTATTCAAACAGAAGAATATGACGATAGAACTTCAACATGGAAATGATCTGGGACGAAGGCTAACCTGTTTCCTCTCTGCTGAAACCATGTTTCAGCACAAGAACGATGCGAGATCCCAAGTTCTCCTCTACAATGGCAACCGAGCTGAATGAGTTCTGAGCTCCCTGATGATGATGGTTCGTTCCCCAAATGACATATTCTACAAATCTGTTCTGCTCTCAAATGCTCTTCATCAATCTTCACATCATCCGCATGAGAACCAGTCTCTTCTTTTGGCCGTTTATCTTCTCGTCCTTCCCCCAATGATGTCCCTTCTGGGCTTCCCGAATCATTTGTACTCAGCATTCTTGAATCATCATTAGCATCTTCAACCCTTGGCTCCACTCCTGCGGTGCTTGCTTCGACTCCAATGTTGACTGAAGATTTTGGAAAGCAGTTCTGTGTACTTTGTGCATGATCAACTAATTCAGGTGGCTCCATTGAAAATTAATTTTAGTGATCCAAATTTTTGTTGTTATTTTGGTGTATACAATGCCACATAGTTTATCAAACAAATAAAACTGAGTTGCGTAGGTAACGGAAAGCCTTACCAGAAAGATCTTTGAAGGATAGGAAAAGAGTCAGAATCTAATCTTTTCTATAATCACACAACATAACAAAACAATATGCTTTACTTGGAATCCTAGTTTTTGTGTGCCGACACGTTAAGGAAACCTGGGAAGTTGTCCTTGAGACTTGGGCCTTGTATTAACACATACACACACAAAATGTGGTCTTTTGGGTAAAAAATTTTGGGTAAAAAACAAAAAAGCCATGTGTGTTAAATTTAATATACGGGAAAGCTTCTCTTAGTTTTAAAACTTATAATACGATACCTCATATTTTGAACGAAATTGTAAAGGTGATGGAATCCGTTAAAATTAACAAGTGCGGACGAAATGACAAACCCTGATATAACTAAGCAAAAGGCATTTCAACAAAATCATTTGTTTTATTCTTTGGAGAAAGAAAATTGGGGGTTAAGGGGTAGAACATGTATATTTGTTAAAAATTATATATAAAAAATTTGTTTTTAGATTCTAATAATTCATTTCTGTTGATTTCAAAGGATTCCGTCGCCTTTATAATTTAGTTTAAAATATGAGGTGTCGTTTTGTACGTTTTGAAATCGCAAGAGACTTTTCTGCATATTAAGTTTACCACAAATGCTTTTTTGTTTTTTACCTTTTTTTTTAATGGTACTAGTGCAACTGGTCTTTGCATTCTCCTGAAACAACTATCAAGAAAATCAGCAAACATTTGTAAATTGGAGTGGTTTAACTGGAAATTCTATAAGCCTGCCCTTAGATTTTATTAGTACAAGTTATTTGCTAGTTACTAATCATCCATTTTCAGAAGTATGTGTTAAAGGTTTTCATTGGCCAATGAGTTCTTGTGTAACATTTACTGCAAACACACTATCTGTAAAAAACTAAAACGAAAGTCAACCTAATACAGCAACTTTCTTGGACTCTCAACAGGCTAAATTTCTTTTCTTTAAAAAAAATTACATTTTTCAATTGTACGGAGAAAATGCATTTTTACTCTTTTTTTTGTAATAAGAAGACTGTTTGTGTTTAATCGGATAAATATAATTTGAAATTGACTCTATTTATCCGATTAACCGAAGCAGTTTGCGGTTAGAAAAAAAAAAAAACAAAAACAACTTTTGACCCCCAAAAAAAATTCAGATAAGTCCACATGGGACAAATCCAGTTACGTCATCTAATTACAGCGTCCACTTTTTACGAGGCACCTGCTGACATAAAAAAAGCTTACTTAGCCAAGTCGTTCACTCCCACTGCACAGTACACCCTAGACTAGAGTAGGTATATATACCAATATTCTCACGCACTTCTCCTCGATTTCTTCACCTTCTCTGCGTGTTTCTGCTTCTCTTGTGCAAAATCTGCGATATGGCGTTCCGGAGGATCATTTTGGGCCAAGTTGGTCGTGTCGGAGAGCGATCGATGTCGTCGTGGTGGCGAAATGTCCAGCCAGCTGCTAAGGATCCGATTCTCGGAGTAACCGAAGCTTTCCTCGCTGATCCGAGTCCGGATAAAGTGAACGTCGGAGTTGTAAGTTTGCTCCCTGGAAAAAGGAGGAAATGAAGAAAAAAACTCTCCTTTGTCTGAGAAATGATAAGAACGTGACGGCAGTTTCTGCTGTGTTTGTTTCAATTTTATGAATTTCCTTTTTTTTTGTTGTCTGATATCGAACAGTAAATTTTTTATTTATTTATTTTTTTTTATGATTTGGCTCCGTTTGGTTCAAGTTGGTCCAAGTTCGAGGTTGCTCGGATTTCAGCTGAATTTTGGCCTTTTTATGATTTTTTAAGTTATTCAACAATTTTTTCTTTTGGTTCAATTTTTTGAATTTATTGTAGAATAGTAGTTCTTGTATTTAGCTGCATGTTTTATGTCGATGTTTTCTGAGAATTTCAGCTGAATTTTGACTTTTTTTTTCTTATCGTTCTTGGATTGAAATTTTGATTTTGAATTTTTTGTTGTTGAAGGGAGCTTATCGCGACGATAATGGAAAGCCGGTGGTGTTGGAGTGCGTGCGGGAGGCAGAACGGAGAATTGCGGGTAATCTCAGCATGTGAGTACTGTAAAATTGTAAGAGTAGTGCGTGTTATTTATATCTGGTACAATTTCCGGAGCTTGAAGTAAAATTTGGTAAAAGAGCACTAATTAAGTTAAAAGAATTTCTAATCTATTTATATGTAGTTTTGGTAAATATGTTTTCATTTGCTTAATGTGAATGCTAAATCATCTCGGCTGAATATTTAGTAATTTCCTAAACTCAAACAGTGTTTTTTCTTTTTTCTGCAAGTGACAATCTTTGTGTTACTTACAATAATATCGCTATTAGTATTCCAAATAAAAGACTTGATTTTTTTTTCCGGTGACAAGGTTATACTTGGTTCCCATAATGAATTTAAGCAATTGACTTTGAATTAAGTTGGAATAAAAATATCAATATTTGAGTAGATAACAACAATGTTATATATATCATGCCTCGACATCATTTTTAATCGTCATTTAAAGCTAACAACTTTTGTTGAATAACTTTCGTACTTTATGAGTTCTATATAGTTACTATGTCTTGGTAGCTAGTGGTCGAGCATGCTGACATTGGTAGGGTCGTAAATTATTTCTATCTTTCATTTTTAAAGTTGCAACTTTGAATTGGTCCAGTATTTTATGGTGGTCCAAATTCCATAAATCTTTTTATCTTTTTATCCTTGCTGGATCCACTTGCAATATGATTCTCCTGGTTTTTTTTAGTGCGTTTTCAGCAAGATATATCCACTTTTCCCTAATTGGAATAGACTCCCTCTTGGAGATTTTTTTATCCAATTACAGTGATGTGAGTTTAGAATCTTGTTCTTGATGGTTGTGTTGGATAGAATGGGTGAAGTTGCAAATGAGAATTGGAAAGAAGGAAGAATATAATTATTTGGTGAAACATCAAAGGGGAAACAAAAAAGGTAAACAAACTTCTATAACAGTCAATTTCAGTTACATGTGAATTATTAAGGATATTTTCCAAATGATTTGCATCGCTGGATAGGTTTTCCTTGATGTTCTTATAGTTCTTTATCCTCTATTTGGGGCAATAGACCAAGCATTGGTTGATTGATAAATACGTCGGACAGAACAATATATTTAGTGCTTTACAATCTTTTTTCTTAGTTGCCTGGTCTTCCAAGTTAATAGCTTTCCTTCGAAAAAGCTCTTTGGGGCCTTTTTTGACAATATTAAAGCTAGAATTATTCAAATGAGCAATCCTCTAATATCTGTATGAGATAAACAGGGAATCTGCTAATGAGTAGAATTTCCAACTTCCAACAGTATTTCTATGCTCTATCTATCCACTTATTCTGCTCTATTAATTTATACACTTGTGTAATTAGTGCTGTGAAAGTCCTCACAATTCAAGTGTCAAGAATGCTATGAGGCACACAATGAATTTCATCTTAGTCTTGCACAATCATCCTTTAGCCTCATTTGGTTGAAGGGGAAATGACTATTCTAGCTTTTCAGGGAGTATCTTCCAATGGGAGGAAGTGCAAAAATGGTCGAGGAAACACTAAGATTGGCTTACGGGGAGAATTCTGACTTGATTAAGGATAAGAGAATTGCAGCAATACAATCTCTATCTGGGACTGGTGCATGCCGAATTTTTGCAGAGTTTCAAAGGCGTTTTTGTCCAGATTCACAAATTTACATTCCGGTCCCTACCTGGGCCAAGTAAGTGCTGAAGTAGTTGTCCTCTTAACAGATTGGTGGCATTTCATTTGTGCTTTATGATTACTCAATTGAATACTTAGGTAGTTATTCAGGATTTTGCTGCTTTTCTTAGTGTTCTTTTCAAGATAATAGTCTGAGGTTTTGGCAGTCATCATAACATCTGGAGAGACGCCCATGTCCCTCAAAGAACTTTCCACTATTATCATCCAGAGTCAAGGGGATTGGACTTTGCTTCAATGATGGATGACATAAAGGTACTTAGCAAAAGGTTGCCTCTTTTGAGTAGTTTGTGTTATGGATAGATTCTTTGTCATCAAAATGTTGTTCCTATCCTCAGCATGCGGGTATTGTTGTCATACTCTTCTTTTCTTGCACAGAGTGCTCCAAATGGATCATTTTTCCTGCTTCATGCTTGTGCTCATAATCCTACCGGAGTGGATCCTTCGGAAGAACAATGGAGGGAGATTTCATACCAGTTCAAGGTCATTGATATGTAACTAATGATTTTTTTTCTTGTCCTTTTATCGTCATGTTTCTCTTGTTAAAGAGCCATATATCTGTTTTCAGGTCAAAGGACATTTTCCCTTCTTTGACATGGCATATCAAGGTTTTGCGAGTGGTGATCCAGAGAGGGATGCTAAGTCTATCAGGATCTTTCTTGAGGATGGTCATCTAATTGGATGTGCGCAATCATATGCAAAAAATATGGGACTTTATGGCCAGAGAGTTGGCTGCCTGAGGTGAATTAGAAATTTAATTTGGCTCTGACTTTTTGATGATTATATTTTCTTTTTCTTTAGCCCTATTGACTGATATGGCTTTGTCCTTTCAGTGAAGGGCTTAATTCTTTAATATCTCATGATTTTCTAACCAATTTTAGGAAGGAATTGGGTTATATGATTAGCTTCTCAGATTGGCCATTTTTACAATCAGGAACTGAATTACAAAACCTTTTACCAGACTTCATTGAAGAAGGTGAAACAAATAGGATTCATTTAAGAAGGATCTGTTTGTACTGCAAAATCTTTTGAAGCATTTGATACCTTGATTTTCAAGCTTCGTGTCACGGTTAGAAAGCATTCTACAGTAAAGCAATATTCTGGCATTCTCTTCCGTACCCAGTTTTATGGGCTAACAATGCAAACCTGGAGCATTCTCTTTCCTGTTAAAAATCCAGCATTCTTGTATATTTGCTACTGAATGATCTGTCTGGACATGAAAAATATTACAGAAACTCCATTTTTTTTTAACGATTTTCTGATGCCTGCTTTTCTGTTGACTGCAGCGTGGTTTGTGAGGATGAAAAGCAAGCGGTGGCCGTGAAAAGCCAGTTGCAGCAGCTTGCCAGACCCATGTACAGTAATCCACCTACGCATGGTGCCCTGATTGTTTCTACCGTTCTTGGTGATCCAAACTTGAAGAAGTTGTGGCTTAAGGAAGTAAAGGTAAGTTTCTGCAAAATTTATAATTTTTGCCAAGTGTTGGCTAATGTTGGCATTTTAAATAGAGGATAATCCTATTCAAGTCCAAAAATAAGAAGAAAAAAATAATTTCTTTCTGGAGTACTTTGGATGGGTCTATGAAAAGTCTCATAAGTCAAAAGAATTTGGCTTGAAGCCGAGGAGTGCAAGATCATTCTCATTTTAGGAATTGGAAGAAGACAAAATCAATATTTTTTCTCTTTCAAGTTATAATCGTCCTTCTATGTTAGTGGAGGAGGTCGGCAGTTGGTCAAAGGAGTTTAAGTGTTCTAAATATGTGGATATGCAGGTAACTACTGAGGGGAAAGGAAATTTAGTGGATTGATAGTTTAAAGACCTGGTAACATAATCTGTAAATATGCCTATTGCATGAAGAAACAAGGCTAATATTGTTGAGCGAGTAATGATTTTAGATCTTCCCTAAGTTGAAAGTTTGATGTATGGTTGATGTGCTTTCATTTATTGATTGTCAAATTATTTATAGTTGTTGTGACTATGGTGTTGAAATTCAATAAAATGCCGGACTCCAGGGCATGGCTGATCGTATCATTGGAGCAAGAATAGCATTGAGACAAAATCTCGAAAAGTTGGGGTCATCTCTTTCCTGGAAGCACATAACGAACCAGGTTGATTTATTAAAAGACTTTTTCACTCTTTTATATGTTATAACTCTGTTACCAATTTACCCCCATTCTGGCACAAAAACAGATTGGCATGTTCTGCTATAGTGGGTTGACACCTGAACAAGTTGACCGCTTAACTAATGAATTCCATATTTACATGACTCGTAATGGTCGTATCAGGTAAAATGTCTTCTCCTCTACTGTATCCTCCTGCTCTGATCGTTTCTATTTTCATTGCAATGTCATGACTTGTTAATTTATGAGCAACATCCGCAGCATGGCGGGAGTCACCACAGGAAACGTTGGTTACCTGGCTAATGCAATTCATGAGGTGTCCAAGTCTGCTTAGGAACTTGATACTGGCGCATGTTTCAGCAATAATCCAAACGGAGGCTTTGGAAGGTTACAGGTTCTTTGTACAATTCAAGAGATTTTGGCTTTTAGGAATTTTTTGAGATTTTCTTCCAACTTTGTGATCCTAACACTAGGATGGACAAGTGAGAAGTCCTTCTTGAAGAGTTGAAGGAAAGCACTGAGACCAACTGGGGTTGGGCCAAGTGGTAAGCAGCTTGGTTCCGCTTAAGCAGGTCTCGGGTTCGAAACCTGGCGTATGCAGCTACCCTTGTTGGGAGACTCACCCACCACAGCCAGGTGTGCGACCCGGGTCGACCAACGGATTAGTCAGGGCAAAGCCCTGGATACCGTGGCAGGCAACCAAAAAAAAAAAAAAGAAGGAAAGCACTGAGGACATAAGCAACAGATATTTGATTTTGAATAAATGCCGGTGCATGTATTCATTTTATACCCTCCAATTCTGGAACTTTTGGCAGCTAGGAATCATTTGACTGTTGTAATTCAGAGGTCGGATAGAAGGTTATGGAACCTTGTTTGGATTGCCAGTTTCCGTCAAAAAATTACATCGTTTTCCGTGATCACATTTCCCTATTAACTTTTTTCCTCACATACATCAAATCGTTACAGTAATTTTTTCATGAAAAATCACGGAAAATGCAATCCAAACACAATTTTTCCATTCATAATCAAAGATGTCACCTTCTCAAAACCCAGCAACTGAAATTGGATGGTGACTCTCATTTATTGTGTTTATCAGGGTGATTTTTTATTTTTTTTTCAGACGCAGGAGATATCTTGGCTTTCGGCCCGACTAATCCTCTCCGGTCCGAGAGAAGATGCCCCATCCCCTCGAACATGGTACCCATGGGACTCGAACTCTGATGGGACTGGACAACGGTTCTTAAGGAGGCTTCCGTAACCAACCGAATTGCCTATAAGGAACGTATAGCAGAGTGATCTCATCCCGTTTTTTTTTTCACTTGGTGTATGAACTATGAAGAACTTTAATAACTGCCAATTAAATTTTATTGCGTTTTGGATAAGTGGTATAATGGTTTGAGGAAATATTCACAAAATCTTGGGCGTGTGATTTGCAAGGGTTCTAACTACTAGATGACTTGAGCATCTCTGGTAAGAATGGGATGGCAAAAGCTCCAATTTATCAAATGGATTGACAGAACATGTACATGGAAAATGCAGTTAACTGACCAACACATAAAAAAGCTTTTATAATCTTTAGTAACGACAAAGACTCTTTTAATCTTTAACCATGGCAACGACATATTTCAAGCAAACAGAAAATTGTCTAAAATAAAAAATCCACTCAAACAAGATACACAAATTACCTTTATTATATTAATCCTGGATGAAATCTCAAAGAATCCCAGCGTTGAAATATGCGGGTGAACTTGGACGGCTGCCTCTCGAGACGCTTTCAGGGTTCAGGAATTAAATGTAGTTTGTTAGGGGCTGTGTCTTTTTTTTTTTTTTTTTTGTCGAAACGATAGCTTTATAGATTACTCAAATGTTTACAATATTTAGACAAAGGTCCAGTCATCAGGACAATAGTCCTACCAAAAACAATAGTGCCTAGCACTACAAGTTGGGATTCACCCATTCCTCATCCACGAGGATGTTTAGAGCATGCATGCTCAACTTGATACTTCCTACAAATCCTGATTCAACAAAAGAGAAAGAACACTTTTGGAACAAATTACTTATGTATTTTATATCCTCCAGGAGAGTAGCCATCTGTTGGTTGCTGGTCCTTGTAGATTTTATGCACTCTACCAGCTCACTGTCTTCTAACTCTACTTTAACACTCGTCCAGCCTTGACTGATTGCATTCAGAAGTGCTAGCCTCACCGCACCAGCTTGGTCCTGCTTTGTGTCTCCAGACATTCTTTCCCTTAATGCCCAGCTCGCTTGTAGACATCCAGCCAAGTCAGTAGCAGTGATTCCAATCCCCACCATTTGTTGCCTGCTATCTTGGTGCGTGTGGATTTTGATCTTCAGCCTGGCTTGGTTTTCTCCCTGGCTTTGAACTCTCTCCATCCAATCCAGAGATTCTGTGCCCTGAGTGTTAGGGGCTGTGTCAGTTGGGCTTTTTACACTGATTCAAGACACCATCATGTCTATGCTTGTTGACTGATTCGTTCCGTGGAATTAATTCCAAGTTCGTGAATTTCTTTGTTCTTTAATAGTTGATTCAATATTTTTGTTATTTTCTTTGTTCCTCACTTTTCTATATGATTTGGATTGATTTCAATTCTTAACATGCTTTTTGCCTTCATTTGGTGTTATCTAGTTTTTTCTTTTAAATTTTGCAAAACTTTTTAACACATTTGTTGCACAATAATCAATCACTTGTACTGATAGTAATTAACAAAAAAAAAAAAAAATACTATCCCATTATTAATTATAGAGGTGGCAAAATGGGCGGGATTTGCTTGGATTCAAAATGAAATCGAATCATATGGGTTTGGGTATAACCTTACCCATATGTGTTTTGGGATTAATTTGGGCGGGATCACTTTGGGATGGGTTTGGATTGATTCCGCTCAATATCCAAATCTATTTTCTATATTTTTTTTCTTTAATTCTTTTTTATTTTTTATATAACTTTAATATTTTTATTTATTAAATTTCTTTTGATCTTATCGTGAATTTATATTTTCTTTTGATTCTTGTAGACACCAAAATTTTACCATTTCATTTTATTTTTATTGTTATATATTTTTTTAAGCTGTTTAAATGAAATCATTTTCACTTAATTGGTTTTCTTTTGTAGGAAAGTGAAGAAAGGAAAAGAAAGAAAATGGAAGTGAAAAAAAATTCAGATTTTTGCAAAAAAAATAAAATTTCAGAGATGGATTTTTGGATAAATGAAATTTTTTGGGAAGATATTTGGACCCAATGGGTACCCAAGTATTTTCCAACATTTCCCATCAAATAATGAGTACAATTGGGATGCATCCCATTTTAAACCCAATATCAAATTACAATACCCATCCTGCCCAAAGTCTTTTTGGACATGGATAGCCCATTGAGACTTGAGACAAATTGCCACCTCTAATTAATTACTCCCTCCGTCCCACTTTTATAGTCCTGTTTTCCTTTTTCGTCTGTCCCAAATTATAGTCCACTTTCCAATGAAAAATGTAGTAGTATTTTAATTTTCTTAAAATACCCTTATTCAATGTAAGTTGTTGTTACTATAAACTTACTCCATTTAATGAGAGTTGATTATTTTTTTACCATCAATTCAAGTTCCCATAAAGTTGTACTCTATTTAATATGAGGGTATTTTAGGAAAATAACTACCTAAATTGATTGTTCCAACAAAGTTAACTACTTTTTATTAAATGTGTGTAAAATGAACCAGAACTATCGAAGTGGGACGGAAGGAGTACTATTCTTCATATAACATTACTTGGGGGAGGACCAAAAATAAAATAGAAGTTTAGTTTGAGTAAACCGGGCACAGTTTTGTTTTTAGTTTGAGTAAAATGACCTATTTTTGACGGATTGAACCATCAAAATGAAAAATGCCCATAAGGTGGAAATCTATAGAAAATGACTATAAGCGTGACCCTATCACGATTGAAATCTCTACTCAACAAAAATGAAAGCCTAATACGGAAGAAAATGAAAATTTTCAATAGCACATGCAATTCTTTATAAGAATCAACTAAAGCAGCAAGTAAACAGGTTGCAATGAAAACATGACACTACTATAAGCATCTACTCCTCTCCCATTCCTTCTTCAGGGAATCTGCCTAATTGGACACACATAGCATTACCAATTTAGATCCCTACATTTCTCAAATCTCTTGATCAAAACAATGTACAAAAAGGGTGACACGGTTCTTCTTTGGCTAAGAAGGGTAGGCACGATCACCAAATTCAAGGTTAACTTGCAGAGAAACTATATGCAAACACCTTTTAGGGGTGTGAAAAAACGCTGCACTGGTCCAAACACCCCACCTAGATAGGTCACGGAATCATGTTCTTCTTCACATCCATCAATGCCAACAGGTTATTTGCCATTTCATCTGATTATGTCCCAGCAGGATGTGGACAGTGGCCCGTCGTTTGTCTTCTAACATGCTCTGGTATTAACCGGTTGATCAACTCAGGTGAAGCTCCAGATAACTGCAATTAGAGGCATGGTGAAACTGTATTTTGTTGACAGTAGACAAAACAGAAGTACTCCATTTCCAAATCCTTGCAATTACCAATTCAAGAGTCTTTCATAACATATAACGTTGCAGAATATTACCAAACTTCTGGTCATATAAGAAAAGGTGTTCGCAACTGAAAGATCCCCAATATATAGAATTTTAAAGCCAACTTCAGGTCCCAATTTAAATTATGAACAGTTTTGCAGTATCTGTTATTATGGACTTAAAACAGATTCTCACACTAGTTCAGCATAACCACCAAACGTAAAGCATCTTCTTCCTTCTGTTTATCTTTCCTTCTCTTGTAGGATTATAACAACCTAAGAAGCCTGGCAAAGGATTATAAAGTAGACTCCCTTTGGCCTTTCTAGTCACAATAAACATAATCAAATAGCACTTTTCCCATCTACAGTTCTCAAGTATCCAGAACTTAATAGATTTCCTTCTCATCACCTTCCTCCCATTTTCCTTCTCTAGACGGGTAGCCACATGGATCAGGATGGACACTAATTTCAGACTGAAAATCCATATCTCAGTTTGAACCAAATATTGTTGGCGAATCAAACAACCACCAGAAAAGTATGGTGCCAACGCCTTTTATTATTTTATGATACATATCCTTTCCTTTTCTAGAAAGAGCGCAGGAGGAAAGAGAAAGGCAGCAAGTGAAAAATGGTGGGGTGAGAATTGAAATTCCCTCTAGGATGAGGAAACAAGACCCTTAATCTCCAGGTCTTATTTGAGTCTGTTGCTAGCTTTTAGGCTTTCATTGCTTTTCCTTCATCTTTATGGACTCATTAATTTTGCTCATAACTGTTATTCAAATGAATCATACATAGCTAAGATGCTTATATGAAAAACTACAGAATTCGAACAACCAGAGAAGAGATGCAGTAAAAGAATTCCAGTTAGTAGCATTGTACAGAAAAAGGTGGTTAGGAATCATACTTCCTGTTTAAAGTCGAAAAGTGTTGGCAGAGGCCGATTATTTGGGAGGCGGACATGCGGGTCACGAAGATCATCAAAGAAAGGATGAGCACAGGCTTCTAACTGCAGGAACACAGAAAAATTATTTCATGGATTTGCAGAATAATCCCATGGTCGAGAAAGAGAAACCCCGTGATCGAAAAAGGAAAAGTAAAAGCACCAGTAACATCATTTGTAGTCATATTGCATGGAATGTCCTGCGGTATTACATAACCTTAGCATCTCTAAATTTTACAAGATGAAATCAACTAAACTTACAGCAGTACAGCGAAGACTTGGTGAATATTGAAGGAGCCGAGATGTAAGATCAATTGCTTCAGGAGGCATCCTTTTGTGGAAAACCTGTTCCACGAAAGCTTGTTATCCACTGCAAGACTTTACCTGATTACCCAGATTCTAAGGAGACCAACATTTCACCAGGTCAAAGTACAAAATT